GCAACTGTAAGTAATGCCATATTTTTCATTATGAGAAATCTACATAGAACGCTTATGGTATAACTAACATTATTAACATATATATATATATATTTATTTCACTTTTATAGGTTTGGAGTGGAAAGCTTGTTAGTGAAGAAGTGAAGTGTCTTTCACAAGGTCCGAACAGAATTGTGAAACGATATAAAGGTTTCATCATAAATGAATTTAGATTTCACACTAAATCCGTGAGAGATTTAGAAGTACATAAAATTCAAGAGTTATTGTTACTTCATTAACTACTAACTATGCTAGTGTTAGGGACACAAATCTTTTAGAAAAAAATATTGATTATTATGGCATGATTAATGACATCATTGAGTTAGATTATTATGACAAGTGAAAAGTTATCTTATTTCGGTGTGATTGGGTTAATGTGAATAGTACGATAGGTATTAAAAAAGATCAGTATGGATTTAAACTTGTAAATTTTTCTCGATTAATTCATACTGGACAACAACTCATCGATGAACTTTATGTTTTTTCATCTAAAGTCAAACAAGTATTTTATTCTGAAGATCTCAAAGAATTGCATTTGTTTGTTATTCTTCAAAATACACCTAGAGACTTATTTGATATGAAGTTAGATACAAGAGATAATGTTGAATATAAAACTGAATGTTATTTTTTTGCTAAACAAAATTTTGATGAAAATATCTTCAGTATCTACGATCAGTGGGTCCGTAAAGATGTTAATGAAGACATTTATAAACCATGATGGATCATCTATACTTTGTAATTCGAATGTTTAAGACAAAATATAGTAAATGATTGTATGTAATTAATGTCGCATTTGCTATTGTATATTTATTATATTGTAAATCATGCATTATCTTTGGATTTAATTAAATCGATATGTTTTTTATGTATCGTAGGTTATGATTTCTTAACTTTTCAATGTCTTTATATATGTTCTAAACTAATATATTTTATATATTCGCTTTTATGATACAAGTAAGCTACAATGTGAAATAGTAGATTGAAAGGAATACATATAAAAGATATTATTTCAGAACCATCTGTGGCACCTATTGATATTAGTTATGGACTGAATCCTTTGGAGGGGAATGAACATATTGTTGAATCTAACTCAGTCACTTTTAACCCTTCAACTGATATTGGATCTGACAATATGAGAGGTCCAAGTTTAAATAGTATCCCGTCAATTGATTATACTTTAAATTTGAATGCATGTATCATATACCCTATATTTAGAATTTGATTATAATGATAAAAGTATTACTATTTTACAAATTTATTTTTTATTTTTTGTAGTTGATGACAATGGTCAACGGAAGACCAAAAGCCGGACAACTTTGAAGGAATTGTTTGCACTACCTCCAAAAGAGTGTATTGTAGTGTCTGCAAACTTTGATAGGCAACTAATTGGTGAAGAGGCCTAACTATTGGCTGGATTTCTAGGCATGTTTGCCCATAATGGAATGAAATTACCTTTTCATTATGAAACCCGGCATAAAGTTCTAGCAGAAGTTAAGGCTGATGCTTTAAACTTTATTGAGGTATTAGTATAATTAATTACATATAAAAAATAATTATTTTAAATTTGGTTTGTTGATTAAAACTTTTCTTTTTGTATTATTACAATCAAGATTTGTACTTGAAATACCAACTTCATTTTTACTTAAGTCATTGAAAAAGAAATGAAAAGATTATAAGCATAATTTAAAGAATAAGTATTTCGATTGAAATACTACTGTAGAAGCGACGATGAAAAATTTACCTCGTAATGTGATTAGGTGACAATATAAACAATTAGTTAGATTTTAGTTCTAAAAAAAATGAGAGGTACTAATTTATAACTTTGTATAGTATAATGAAATAATGAATGTGTTTTATGCTTTAAGTTGGTAATATTTGTATTTTTACCATATATGTAATTATTTTTTATGATAGGAAAGAGAACAGATTGGGATTGGTAGCAGAAAGCAATAGAAATATAGCCACACATGTTGATCAAAAAGTTTTGCAAGAAAGCAAAAAGAAATAGTAAGTTTATGATTTTAAACTTATTTCAATGAATGAACTTTTTATGCCATTAAAAGGTAAATATACAAATTAACAGTTATTGTTCTGTTTTAATAGTTTTGATAGTTTCAATACATGATATTAAACTTACCGAAAGTTTTGAACTTAGTTGACACGGATGATATGCATGAAAAAGTTATTGTTTACGTCTATTTAGGTAAAAATACAAATTTGTTGTTATTGTTCTATTTAAACAGTTTGGAATAGCTTCAATACTTGATATTAAACTTGTTCGATTGATTGAATTTGGTTACTATGGTTGATATAGGTGAAAAAGTTATTGTTTATATCTATTTTGGACTATTTTTGCCTTTAAAAGGCAAAATTACAAATTAAACTTTTGAATGGCTTTCAACAATTTGAATGGCTTCAATCCATGATATTAAACTTGTTCAAATAATTGAATTTAGATGCCATGATCGATATGTGTGAAATATCAAAATGCTTTTATTATTTGCGTCTATTTAAGACGATTATGTTATAAAGGGGCCAAAATATAAATACATATATTAAAATTATTTGAAATTTTTAAACTTAATTGACAGGCATGATATGCATGAATAAGTTACGGTTGATATGTATCCTATCAAATAACATATATTTTTGTATAGGAGATTGAGATGGACGGTAAAATTGAACATGTGAAATTTTTTTGCTTAATACACATAAAAAAGATGGATCTTACATGAATGTCGAAACACAATAAATTGTGATAATTTGTAACATCTATTTTAACAAAAAGTAAATATTTACTCTTTTTAACATATTATCAATTAATCATTAAACTTGATAGTTATAGATAACTAATTTACAGGAGAAAACGAAAGAGAAAGAGAAAATGACTGTTGAGATTGAAGTAGCATCCGATGGTTCTTTAACATGCAAGAATTGAAAAATCATATATTCATAAAAGTTGTTGGAAATAAAAGGCATGGACGGGTCTGAGGCCTTGGACTGGATCTAACACCATCTACCTATTATGGACATAGCTCTTAGCAATTTATATTTTTCACAAGTCAATCTTTACGAGACATTTCGATATTGAGAGAGGAGTTACAAACTATGCAACAACATTTTCAGCAACTGAAAGTAGAAAGAGAATAGAAGCATGACAAATTGAGGAAGAATGTGCTAGAATGGAGCAAGAACGTATAAAATTTCAACAGTTGTATGATCGATTCGATCATCTTATGAATTTTATGCAATAACAATTTTTAGAAACTGTTCTCGTTAGTCCACCAACTCAAGTATTATATTTAGTAAATATTTATATTTTTTAATATAAAAAAAAGTTTACAATGAAGTGTTAAAAATTGTATGCTATTATTCAGTAGGTTATTAAGCACGATAGTGACCAAGATGAAAAAATTCCTTTATCAATTGACAACTTTCAAAATCTATGTAGTCATCAATTTTATACATTTTAATTTTTATTTTGTTAATGTATTAAAAAAATTGAATGTTTTTATATTAATTATTAAACTTTGTGTTAATTAGATGCTTATTTGAATGTGAATTAAGTTTATATTAATTTCAGTTTTTGAATTTAAGCTCGTTTATGAAAATAATAAATATTAACAAAAATTTTTTATTTAAAAAAATATTTCTTAATTTTACGGTGTTTGTGTTCAAGAATGTCGCTAGATGAATAATTTAGTGATGTTTGTACCATAAAATACCACTAAAAGTAACGACGTTATTACTAGAAAATACGCTAAATTAGTGACATTTTTTTGATACAAATGTCACCAAAGTAACGACGTTTTTCTTATAAAAACGTCGCTAAATTAGTGGTGTCTCAAAGATAAAAATGTCATTAAATTAGTGGCGTCTCAAAGATAAAAACGTTACTAAAATAGCAACATTTTCTAAATACAAATGACACTATATTAGTGGTGTTTTTTAGATTCAAATGCCGCTAATATAGCGGCATTTTTTAGAAACAAACGTCGTTATTTTTCGTGACGCGTGTATAGCTGACACTCTGATTGACTTTTTTGTAAATGCTGCAAATCTTTTAGTGACGTTTATAAACGCCGCTAAACGTTAAAAAAAACGTCATTAAAAGCCTAAATTCCTATAATGCATATAATATACAAATATATTTTTATATTATCTAACTTATATAAATAAATCTTTTTAAATAAAATTGAGCATGTTTAATACAATAAGATATAATTAGCTAGTTATTGATTTATTCTTAATTTTATGTTTAATTCAGTCTTTTAATTTATTCTAATAGTAATTTGGCTTGTTTTATTGTTAAGATTTAAAAAATTATAAAATATTTATAAACTGTGATGTTATATAAAATACTCATAAAAAAATTTTTTGTAAGAAGTGTGTCAGTTATATAATCAAATATAATATTATAATAAAAATCTGTATACAATAATTTTTTATAAAAGTAAAAATTTTTCAACTTTTTTTTTTTTTTCAAATTGAGATATTAAAAAATTGAAAATTACAAGAGAAACAAAATGTTATTAAGTTTACAACTCTTTTCTTTCATTTAAATTAAAAATTTATTCAAAAAAGAAAAAAATTTATTTTCATTATTTTTTTTTCCTTTGCTTTATTGACATGATGAGACACAATGCATGCGAGTTATATATATATATATATATATATATATATATAGCGGCCATCCATCACTTTCTCTTAAAAATAACGCATGCACCAAAGCTAAAAAAATATTGATTCATCCTCTATATATATATATATATATATATATATATATATATATGCGGCCATCCATCACTTTCTCTTAAAAATAACACATGCACCAAAGCTAAAAAAATATTGATTCATCCTCTCTCTCTATGTACATTTAAGTACACTTTTTTTTTCTCCCTTTGATTTCTTCTTCTGCTGCGCTTCTCTATCATAGATTTTTTTTTTTTTTAAGGGTGGTAATGAAGAAACTGATGCGGAGACTGTCACGAGTTAGGGTGACTCACTTGACCCAATACTCAATGCTCCGATCTGAGCCGCCTGATGCGGTGGAACTCAACAAGCAAAGATCGGACGTACCACATGGGCATTTCCCGGTTTACGTTGGGATTGATCAGGCTTCGACGCAGAGGTTCATCGTCAGTTCTGAGTTGCTGCGGCACCCGATCTTCATGGAGTTGCTAAACAGATCAGCCCAAGAATATGGGTACGAGCAAAGTGGAGTGTTGAGGATCCCCATTAACGTTGATGTCTTTGAACGTGTTCTTGAATCTCTCAGGCAAGGGCAAGAACCTTCAAGTCTTGATGAACTGATCTAGTTATTAACAAGAAAATGTAGGAAAAAAAAAGAAGATTTTTCCCCTTTCTTTTTACGATATTGCCTGTTAGGTGAGTTGATCTCGTTGCCGTTTGTATATAATTTGATGAAGAATAGGTAGGCTTTGTGCTGTAAAAAATTCCATTTTCTTTTTAATGAAAAAACAAACAACATTTTTCTACTTTTTAATATTCCATTTTCTTTTCTTCTTAAACATGATATAACGATAGTATTAACAAAATAATTTTTACTTCTGGGATGAATACTTAATATTTTTCCCAGACCATAAGAATCTATTTTCTCTTAATTTGTGTATAAATTTATAGCCTTATGATCAGTACAACTTCTTTGTTCTTCCGATTTTAATTTGGTGTTTCTCCTACATAAAATGTCCACTTGTCAAATAAGCAAAAAAGTCTGATATTTGTTGTATAGTTTGAAGTAGTACTCTCTTTTTTTGGTAGATGTTGAAGTTAATGCTACGTGCGTTAAGGGATTCTGACGTATTTGATAAAAAAAAAAACCATTGCAGTTCAAAAATTAGTATCATTGAATTTGTGCCGCTGCTGAATAAAAACATTAAAAAGGAGAAAAGAAAAACTATCTAAATCTTTGGTTTATTAATGCCTGATCAGCTAGAAACTCACTGCAAAGTAACAGAAACAAGGCAAACAGTGATGGAGGGGAAGAGAGTTTTAGTTAAATAAAAAAGCTGTAGCACTAGTTGATCCTTGAAATCTCGTTCAATAAGTTTCTGAAACATTCTACATCGCATGGGATTCTAAGGATACCAGGGTTTTCATAGCCAACCTCTTGAGCAACCATCTCTAGCAGCAAAACAAAGTATTCATTTCTGAACATATCGATGTGGATTAAAAACTTTGTACTATCCTTTTCCTTCCCAACCATGACTGGAACATACCCTTTAGGAACAGCTTTACCCTGATCCCCTTCTTTGTCTGTACTCTGCACATTTAATTGTCTGTAAGAATGTCTCCATCTCAACAATTGCCTCAGCATTTTTCTTTGCATCAGGTGTGCTAGTGCTACTGTGCTGCTGATGCTGCTACCTGCTGCACTTCCTTAAAACAAACCCTATGCTTCAATATATTGTCTTTATTTTATAAGCTATAATTAAGAGTTTTCAATATATTGCTTTCATTTTATAAGCTATAACTATAAGCAGATTGGCTGATTGGTTGAGTAATTTCTACAGCACTTTCAGTGAGTCAGAAGCTGTACAGTCATTTGAACTTCATTGCTTTACCTTGAGTTGGTCAAATACATCGATCGTAATTGATTTCTTGCACGAAATGTTCCAGTGATATTCAGCTATTGGTTTTTTATTTCTTTCTAATAATAATCAGCTTGGAAAAACTGATCAGGGAGGAAAATCATTCTTGGGACTTTTAAATAATTAAGCTATATTTCTTTGATGGAAATATTAATTTTCAAACTAATCCCAATATTTTATGTGGATTTGAGGGAGATTTGAGATGCACGTTTAATATCCCTTTGACCAGTTCCTCAAACAAGTTACTGTAACCTTTGTGAGTCAATAACTTTTTTTTTTTCATGTTTACTCGAAAGTTTTTTAGTACATAGATGCAGTAATTTGAATAGAGAAAAAAGATTGTGAGTAATTTTTAGCACATAGAATGTAGTAATTTATATGCAGTAACTTTATATTCAACTCCAGCAGTCACAAATACCAAAAAAAAAAAAAAAAAAGGTTTACATAAAATTGACTTGGCGTGCAGTGGACCTACTGTGTTTATTTCAGCCGACAATTCTAGAATTAATGGTGACAATTCTGGAATTAACGATGAAATTATGAATTTTGAATAAGTTCTAACCATGTCTGCGCTAAATTAAGATAATTACAATAACTTAAGCTTTTTATATTTTCTATCTCATATTGAACCATCATTCTCACAACAAAAGTCTATTTAAATGAGTAATAAGATTGATTTCAATAAAATTAAAAATAATTATTATATTATAATTATAATAAAAAAAATAAAAAATTTATCCTAATGGAACCTCGTTATAATTGACATTTAATCTCAGTTACTGGTGGTTAGAGCTTAACTACGCCCAGTAGACTAAATAAATTTTACATTACAAAAAAAATTTACTATTGGAAGTGAAACAATAACTTAAGATTCACTTTTATTATTTTTTCAAATTATTGACTAAGAATCTAAAACCTTGAATTTGTAACAAGGTAAAGATGATTGTAATTTTGTAGGTAAATTGGCCCACATGTCTCCTTGAGATTGATGAGAGACTGAATTAGAATCCAAACCCCGTACCAATGCCTTCTAAGTGAGTAATACGAACTATAGGGATAAAATTTTTTACATAAAATAACTAAAATCTTAATTTGGTTTCTGTTTTGCTTATTTTTATGTTTACTTATAACTTTCTGGAATAATGAAATTTACTTATTCATCATCAATTTTGTTACCTCAACACCACATCATCGTTAGCAACTCTGGCTGCGACTCAACAGATTTGACATCTGACAGTTTCATTGTTTATAAGATATAAATGGTAAAGTCAACTCTTCAACTGCCACATCAAAAGTTACGTCATCAAAATTTGTGATATGGTGACAGAATATTATGATATTAATTTCATAATTCAAAATTTTGAAACTTTGGAAAAATTATTTATTCAAAAAGATAATGACATTGAAAATCAAGCTAACGGCTAAGGTTGCGTTTAGATCACCGATTGATCGCAATGCAGCAGGATTCATACCTTCAATCATAAGTAGAAGCTATTTGGATGACCTGTTTCGGTACAATTCAACTTTCTTTCATCCCACCGAAGCCTTCAATTGTCACTAAAGCTTAAGGATTCGGTAGAAAATCAACCACTCTACTACATCTCTTCTTTCCTCTTATGCTTTTGCCATCTTTTTTTTAATCCTCTAATGTGTAGTGTAGAGATGAGATTACCCTTTATCTTTTTTTGTTATTTATATTTTTCATTTTTTATTTAAAGTTTTTCATATAACATTATTATAATTATGTAATAAATCATTTATATATTTCAATAAAAATTTAAATGTTAAATATATTAATATATAAAAATAATTCATTATTATATTTTTAATTAATGTCTTAAATAGTTATCTTTTCTTCTAACAATAATTCATTTCACCTTTATCATTATATATATATTTAAATATATATTTTACTATTAATTTTAATTTCATCGTTATAATAATTAATTTTATTTTTATTATTATTTTTAAATTTGCTTTCCCCCGAAGCGGATCTGGTTTAAGCTAAAAGCTAATTCAAAAGCGAGCGGTTGTAAACAGCATTATTTAACTTCCAGTACTAGCAACCCTTCCATTTGCATGACCCATGAGGAAAGAGATCACTTGGTATGAAAGCCCATGATGGGGGAGCCTACTGACATTTAAAAGGTGACCCACTTTTTATGACTTTTTGAGAGCCCACTGACATGCCAGACTGCTGCGAATACTGGGTTCCTACTTTGTCTACTTTATCCACGCAAAGCAGCAGAAAAACTGCTGCCCATTTATGAGGCCTGTGGTTCTCCATTCTTCATAGCTCACTGGATCAGCCACCACAACAAAAAATCTTCCCTAATTGCTTGACTCATAGCTGTACGGCTATCGGTCGACTCATACAACAAAAGACCCAGAGAAAAAAATTCCTCGGTTTTCCTCAAATTCTTGCCAAGAAAGTTTAATTCTAGTATTTGTAATAGATTGCCCTTTGCTTTTGGGCCGAATTGGAAGTGACACATTGTTTAAGAGATTGTTTTACCAGTACTATCATTTTCTTTCTTTTGGGGTAATCTTTTTAAAGGAAAAAAAAGATGATTTTCTTAAAAAGATATTGTGAAGATAGAAAAAAAAAATTGTATTCATACGCATGAAACAATTGCATTAACGAGAAATTTCATGTTTTCAAATGTGACATTCATACCAACCAAGATACTAAACATAAAACAATACGATAGAATGAGAATTCAACATATTTGGCTAGGACCTTTGAACTTGTGAAAAGGATGTGGCTGGCTTTTAATAGTTGAGTGCTTTATGTGCGTACCCCGTGAAAATCTTTAAGTATAAAATAAAATCTGCCCAAGACTTATTAAGGGCATACCTGACGCATCTCTCACGCAAGGGGCAGGGGGAGCCTCTTAAACAAAAGAGTACAAAGAACATTAAATGCCTCCATTAATGTCTGCTCTCTAATTTTTCTTCATTCTTTGACTCCTATGACACCAATTAATCGAAGATTGTTGAAAAGTCTATGTCATCCTTACCAATGTAATGAAATCTTTACAGTATTTTACTGGGTCACATAAGGATGATATTGTCATATCATGCAAAATTTGGCATTTTCATCATCACTCACATTCATAACTTAGTCCAAAAGGATTTTTAATTTCAATCAATTGGACCTTAACTTTCTTGAAGTAGACTTTTCTTTAATCTTACATTTTTGTATTTTAAACTTTTATTTGCTTTCAATTTCCTTTGCCTCTCGCATTTCTCTCAAGCCTACCCTTTTTTGTGCTGTGTTTTGCTGTTGGGACTGTGGGTGAAAGCTTAGATATGGCAGCAGAAGTGAGTAGTTCATTGGTGAGGGTATTGAATGGGCACATAGAAGAACAGCCTCAGATTCATGCTGGGAATTCAGATATTTTGATGACAAAAGACTTGCTGGGAAGTTTGTCAAAGGCTGCAACCAAAGAAATAGATCTTGAATTCAAGGTGAAAAATTCAGATATTTCTTTCTTTCTCCTGAAACAAATCCCAAGAACTCATCTATGTCAATTTAATTCTCTGTAGCAGTGTAATTTCAGTTCACAATTAATTTGCTTTATATCCCATGTAGACTTTTCAGGTCACTATTAATATTTATTGAATTCATAACAGAGTATTTAATACAGAGATAATTCTCTATTTTGATTTTGCCGTTGGTTTTCTTTTTTTTTTTTTTGAAATGTTACTATCTTCCTACCTGCTTATTTATTGAAGTTTTCTTCTCTGTGGTTCATGGTCCATGCAATTTTTGGTTCTGTGTTGTTCCTTACCATGCAGCCAGGGAAAGTACAGACCCAAAGATGCAACTCATTACCAAAGTCACCATTATCAGCATCGGCATCAGCATCTTCTTCTCCAGATGGAAAGAACAAGAATCAATTACCAAATTCGATTCAAGAATCCAAGCTTCAAGACTTGAACTTCCCCCCAATTAACTTCTTTGAAGACATGACTTCCCTGGACTTAAAGCTCCAGTCTTCAAGTCCAAGCCCTTACCAAAGTGTCTGTACTCTTGACAAGGTCAAACACGCCCTGGAAAGAGCAGAAAAAGAAACCATGAAAAAGCGTTCATCATCACCACCTTCATTGCCTGCTGCAACATCTTCATCAACACCGAGAATGTTCGCAGCCGCATGCCCTGGTTGCTTGCTGTACGTGATAGCTTCCAAGACAAATCCCAGGTGCCCTCGCTGCAATGCATTTGTTCCATCTACCTTGGCTGTGAAGAAGCCTAGGATTGATCTCAATGCATTATTTTAATCCTTTTTCTTTTCTCTCTTTATGAACATTGATTGGAGATAAATTGTAACTCTATAATGAAATATTTTGATTCTTGTAAATTGAAAAATACAGGTTTTGATTTCTGCTTACTGGGAAATATATAGAAACTTTAGATCTCGTGGTCTTATTATATATATATATATATATATATTTTACATATCTCGCATTGTTGTTTCTTCCTAATTTATAATTGGGATTGAAGTCACATTTTTATTGTGATTTTTCCACAGAAAAAGCCATGAGTGAGTGTGGTATTGTTGCATGGAGTAGATCAGAAAATCGTCTTAATAATTATTGTTATCATTTTTAATTAAATAGAGGATAAGGGTGTCCGGTTCAGAGTTCTAATAATTTTAAGGCTTTGATTACTCTGTCTTAATAATAATACCAACATATAAATCAATGTGTCAATATATAATTAAATTAAATTCACAATATAAAATTTAAATATAAATCTTAATTATTTAATATATAATACTTGTTATGTCCTATCTTAAGTATTTTTTATTTTTATTTATTTAATATTATAAATTTAAATTTTTTAATATCTATGTATTATATTTTTTGTTTTAAAGAGTGAAAAAATAAAAGTATAAAATGCTTAAAAATAATAGTGCAGTAATTGAAGGAATTCCAAAAAAAAAAAAAAAAAAAAGGCAAGGGCAAAGCCAAGTCTACATCCAGCATTAAAAGCCTGAACATCCAAAAACATTTTTTATTTAATGTTTTTTGAAACCCCAGTGTCACCTTCACAGCGACTGTGGACAGCTATATTTATAGCTCTCCATTTGCATTTATTTAAATGATTCGCCACGTGTCACGTTTACTCTACTCCTCATTTAATGCAAATGTCGTTTGTTTTTTGTTTTTGCAGCTTACGACGAAACTCATTAATGGAAGACTTTGATTGATGGAAAAAAGAGAATAGCAAAGGCAATGTTGGAAGCAACACAGTGAAAATGTTATAGCGTGGATTGAGGGCAAGAAATTGATAGGATAAAAGAAGGGTCGGCTTCAAAGCAAGTAGGATGCCTTGTCTTCTTCATTCGATGGCGACTGTGTTGGATTGTAGAAGTAATACTACTTGGATTTTGGCTACTGCAAATTCATCCAATTTTTTATTCATTGCATCAGCAAGGTATGTATGGTAAGAGATATTTTTCTTTTTCATATCAGTTTGCTTCTAAAAATTTTCTAATTGGAAACTAAATTTTATCCGAATTGGATAGTGCTAGTGTTAAGCTTTGGTCAAATTTTTAAAATTATATTTTAAAAAAAAAGTGATCAAGGGTAAGGATAAAAAATATTTTTTTGTGTTTGCTCTTTGATATCTAAGTTAAAAGTCAGATATAGAAGGTCAAAAGGAAAATGAAAAATAAAAAAAAAATAAATAGTACTTAAGTGACTCTATTTATAAATAAAAAGTAAGAGATTTGTGAAGTAAAATAGTGATGTAACTGAATTAATGTGATATTATATATGTCAAGTTGGTTTAACATGTTAAGTCGATCTAAAAATCAAAAATATTTTTAATCATTTGTTGATACTTTTTGTAATAATATATAGATCCGTAGATCTATTGCTACACATAGGCTAAATAAGTGGCCACCAATATTTTTTGTTTAAATACGATTGACCACCTAATTAAATCTATTCCATTTAAAGATAAATCTCAAGATTAACTTAAATATCTTTAAATAATAAATTCTAGTATACTAAACCAGATTTATGTTCAAAAATACAGTTACACGTGAAGAAAGTTATAACACCCTCACAGATACTATCCAAAAGATTATATTTGTTTGATTTCAAATTATCCAAGTCTTAACCATATTAATGATTTATCAAAATATTTAATATTAAAAATTGATCTTAAAATTACTCTAATAATTTTGTAGTAATTTAAGATAATTTTTTCACCTCAAGAGTATTAATGGAGACTAGTATGTCACTCTGAAAAAGTTCTATTGTCGGATTCATTAATATATTTTTATTTAAAAAAATAATTAGTAAAATCTTCCAATAGTTTAGTAAAATTTACTTTTATGCAAATCTTCTAATAGTTTGGTAAGATTTTTTTGTAAATTTATTTTTTAGAAAATGTATTAAATCTTTAAATAGTTTGATAAGATTTAATATAAGATGCAAATCTTTCAATAGTTTGGTATGATCAAAATATGATATTTTATCAATAATATCTTTTAAAAAAATTAATTTATGAAATTCTTAAATAGTATAATAAAATTCATGAATCCATTTTAGAAATATTTTTTTGAATAAATAAATAAAATGAAATTCATAAAATAATGTATTGTTCAATTGAAAATAATAAAAAAATAATAGTTAAAAATGTACAAAATAAAATGCAAATAAAATAGAAAAAATCAAATCAAATCAAAAAATAAAATAAAAAAAGGAAAGAAAATACTTGTGTCGCGTGTCGGGTCGGAGCATGAGTTAGCAGACAGGTCAACAGGTCACACGTAGATTAAGAACTTTCCAAAACGATGTCATTTTGCCTTGATATAAAAGGCACTTCTCAACCTCTTTTCATCAAACTTTAAACTCCATCTTTCTTTAGAAAAATTTCTCTATCTTCTCTCTAAAAATCTTCATCGAAAACTTCAAACGGTGAGGATGAACCCAGATTCTAACACAATAAAATTTAAATGGTTGTGGAAATTCTCAAATGATCCTAAAATCTACCCAGAAACCATCATTCCAACCATTGTGACTCTCTTGAAAAATTTAAATCCTTGCCAAAAAATTCGTAAAAAACCTAGAATTTCATATACAAACCCAGAAAAACCTAACCATTTAAAACTTCAAAAAAATCTCAGTAAATTTCCAAAAATTCAATCGTGAGTTCCAGAAACCCCAAAGAACGAATCCAACCCAAAAATCACCCAACCAGAACCTCGGTTACCTAAGCAACTTTTATTTTTCTGTAAAAACTTTCCTCTTGAGTTTTTGTCCCATCGTTGCATGCGTGTTGGAATGTGATTTATAGAACTGTTGACTATAATTTTAAGGATTTGCCTTCAATGGATGAGATTAGATCTGTCACCAATAGATTCGATTTTAACTTCCTTTGATTTAGAGATTTTGATTTCATTTGATTGAGACAAATTTTGTTTCCAATTTCACGCACACATGATTTCTGAAAAGTTTTCTAATTTTGTTTCCTTTCTTTTTTTTTTGAACTTTTTAAAACAAAATAATAATAATAATAATAATAATAATAATAATAATAATAATAATCAAATAAAATTAAAATTAAAATTTTCTATTGGGCTCGGAGCTTTCCAATCGGGCCCAATTTTTTTATCAAAACCCGTTTTCATCACAAAAAATCCAAAAAAAATGGGTATCTATAGTTACCCTTTTTTGCATAGTTTTTATGAAACAGGAATTGCGCAAAGACAAAATACATCTATTTTATTCGGGTTCAAAAAAATTGAAAACTTAAAATCCAAAGATTCACAATTTGGAGATTCAATGGTACACAAATTGCAAAGATTCACAAGGTTCCATTGAAAATTTCCAAGGCTTCAGGATTCACAAAAAAGTTCATAGTGATTTCAAAAATTCATAAATTCAAGATTCGTAAAGATTTTCAGATTTGTAAGAATTTTAAATTTCGCAAATATTACAAAAGTTCGTAAGATTTCAGATTCACAAGGATTCTAAATTTCGCAAAGGTTTCAAATTCGCAAGAGTCCAAACTTGTAAAAGTTTTCAACTTCACAAGAATTTCAAATTTCGTAAAGATTTCAAAAGTTCGTAAGATTCCATATTCACAAGGATTGCAAATTTTACAGATATTCCAAATTCACAAAGGTTTTAAATTCACAAGGATTTCAAATTTTGTAGAATAGAATTCGTAAGAATTTAGATTTGCAAGAATTCTTAAGAGTTTTAGGTTCTCATGAATTATAGGTTCACAATAATTGAAAGATTCACAAAAAATTTTCAAAGATTCACAAGAGATTTAGGTCGCAAGAAATTCAGGTTTGCTAGAAATTCAAAGATTCGTAAGAAATTCAAATTTGTAAAAAATTCAAGTTCATAAGAAATTTGAAGATTCGTAAGAGATTCATGTTTGTAAGAAATTCAAAGATTCGTAAAAACTTTAAAGATTTCCAAGAAATTCAAAACCTAAAGCTTTATGTTTGAAAAATTCAGGGATTCACATAAAAAATTTTAAAGTTCAAAGATTCTTGTTCAAAAAAATTCAGAGTTTCACATCCAAAAGTCAAAGATTTTCATTGAAAAATTATAGGATTCACATATGAAATTTCAAAGATTCACATTCATAAATTTTGGGATTCACTTTCAAAATTTTCAAAGATTCACATTCAAAAAATTTTGAGATTTACCTTTGAAATTTCAAAGATTCTTATTAAAAAAAATTTTGGGATTCTCATATGAAAGCTAAAGATTTTCATTGAAAAATTTTGGGATTCATATATGAAATTTTAAATATTCACATTCGAAAAATTTTGGGATTTTGCATCCAAAATTTAAAGAATCTTATTTGAAAAACTCCTTTAAACAAAGGCTCTATGACTTTAAAAGTTTTAAAAAATTCATCAACAAAAATCTCATTGTAAAAGATATTCCTCATTTGAGGAATCAAAAGTCAAAATTTTTCTCCAATCAATGCCAAATTTTGCATGCAATAAATGCCAATGCAAATGTCTTCTATATGTTGCAAATGTAACAATTCAGATTCTCACTAAATGATGTAAATGCATGTCTTAAACAATAATGCAAATGTCATATTATGATTCAAAAGTTCTCTGCATGATGCAAATGCATGTCCTAATCATGATGCAAATGCAATTATCAAAGATTAGAAAAATAATAATGTAAACACAATATATGTAATGCAGATGTTACTAAATCAATGCCATGAAATTTCAATTGTGGAAACATGATTCTTAAGACTCCACCATCTCATAGATTCTTTATCAGTTTCCCAACATTAATGATCTCAAAACAAATTCCATCATTCAATCCGTGTTATTTTTCCCATCTGGTCACAATTCACAAGTTATGTTGACCAACCCATTATTGTATTCATCACTGAGTCATCTTATTTACCTTTTTCAAATCACCTCCTCA